GATCTGACGTCCAGCAGGCGGGATGAGGAGAAACCCAGAAGGGCAGTGGTGTGCATGCTGGCCACACACACACACAAAACACTGGCTTCTCTATGGCAGGGGGATAACTGCCATAACCCGCATTGTGAGGGTAGAGTCACGCAATGATTTATTCCATCACTAACCCACAAGCCTTACTTCTCCAAGATCACAACCTTGAAGGTGTTCCCTTGGTGAGCAATGAAAATCTGAAAATGAAACCAAGCTCAGAAGCCACTGTTACCAATCACTGGTCTTTCAAGAAGGCCATTCAAGAGTCTCGTGGCATCTTCAAAGACTAATGAACATTTTGCTGCCCAGATTCTCCTCGATCACAGTCCACTTTGCCAAATGCATGGATGTTCCTACAGGAGAAACATGGATTGGGGAAGATCCAGGATCGGTTCTGGCCCTATACACATGGCCCTCTTAATTGGATTGGGGAATGGCATTGTTAAGGAACCCGTGAAATGATCCTCACAACCAGGGTAGTCTGAGGGGGACTGTCCCAAAAAGGCAAGATGGTGGCGGTACCCACATGATAGATGCCCTGCCCCATTTTTATAAATCACATAAAGGACATGAAAAAGGGGTGGGGCTTGATTCCATAGGCATGGCCACCATGACATTTTTGACCTCCCACCTCATCGATGCCCCTGCTCTCAACTAACTTGGGATAAGGAATTGGATTGGAGTTGGGCAGCATATACATATATTAAATAAATACATCAAGAACCTGGGCAGATAATTCCCATGGAGAATGAGAGCCATGAAGGAGACACAGGACGATTCCTAGAGAGGTCCTGTTCTCACAGAGCCTCTCTAGGCTCTTGTCTCAGTCTTCGGAATAAGGATCTATCTATATACTACTAAAATTCTTGTGTCTGTAACCTTCACCTGGGTGAAAAGGTGCATCACAGGGCAACAATATTTGAACCAAGGTACCTGAAATGGGATAACGTATAGACTGAATCCAAAATCCGGGACCCATGATGCCCGTGGGATTGAGGTCAGCCCAGGTCACGTGATCATCATGGATGCATCCCCAGTCTCTTCCTGCTTCCCTCTGTCCCCTGCGGCCCATCCTCTGGCAGCAAGGCCTGACGGGCGAGTGGCGATTGGCTGCTTTGAAAGGAGGCAGAAATTTGAAATCCTTTAAGGGCAGTGGGTTTTGGGGGGAGGATGAGGGAGCCACCGGGCTGCCTGCTGGTGAGGTAGGGCCAGCTGGGAGGGCCGGTGGTTGATGGGGAGGCCTCCTCCTTCCTCAAGAGGGGGCCCTTGGGGACAGGCAGGAATGGGGAGTGGGGGCGCAGTTTTCCTCACCGCCTCCCCCAGCAAAGTGGCAGGCACTTCCGCAGCTCCGCCGAGGTGGCGGAGGAGGCTTCTCCGGGGCTCTCGTGAGGGCCGGGAGGGGAGGGCAACCACCACAAGTCGACATTGTACGTGGAAAGGGAGATTTCCGACCCTCCCTGACACCTCCCTGCAAGCCAAGGCAATGGGGAGGCCAGCAGCACGGTGCAAGATGTTCCCATTCCACTCCCACTGCTTCTTTGCCCCTGGTCATTCTGTTTCTCTCTCTAGGTGGGGAAATAGCTCTGAAACGAGGACCCAGCGGGTCACGGTTGCCTGGTAGTCAACTAACTGGCGGAACACAAGTAGACCTGGTTGGCTGGGTGGCTGTTCATTCGCCCAGAGAGCCCAGGTATGTGGAACAAGCCACGATGCCTCACAGGCACCCGGGCATCACGGCATGCATGACACAAAGGATGCGATTTGCAGACGGTGGTCAGGATGCACAGGACACCATCTGACCTCTGCAGACATCCTGGCCCTGGGCGAGTCCAGGTATATTTGGAGCTTGACCGATGTTCCCTGCAAGCGGGGGCAGGGGCCCGGGGCCTGGGCAGGCCCTGCTTCAAATCCGGCCCCGCAACCCCACCGAGCCCCTCTTCAGCTGGCAACGCTTTCGGTCAGAGCAACGTCGCAAGGCAGCGGTGGTGGGAAAGCCTGAGGGGAGGAGCGCTGTGGGTGCTGCCTCCGTGCGTGGCAGAAGGGCCGGAGATGACGCCAGCGGACGACTCAGCAGAGCCACGCCAGGTGTCCTGCCGGGCAGCCTCGACCTGCCCCTGCCAGGGCGTAGAGGGAGAGAGGTGGCCAGGGAGGCAGCGATCGGGTCAGCGCGTCAGGACCACTCGGCCCCTGAGAGGACGAGGCGCTGCCTGCGTTCCTCCCGCAAAGGGACGTGGCTCAGGTGGGATTTCCAGCCTCCTCCTGGTGCCACGCACCTTCTGCGTTTGGATTGCTTTCCCGGATCGGGACTTCCTCCTGCTTTGAGAGAGCTTGTGGTGGGCGGGGATCC